TCTGTCTGTCTGTCTGTCTGTCTGTCTGTCTGTCTGTCTGTCTGTCTATCTATCTATCTATCTATCTATCTATCTATCTATCTATCTATCTATCTATCTACCTATCTATCAACTTGGAGACAGTGATGGCATAGAATCCAAAGAAACAGCTTGGGACTAAAAGGTTTGCTTCCCTGAGGCCAGAATAAGTTATGTCAAAAGATAAAAGGGAAAAGTTCCAGTGACGTGTCTCAATTCTCGTCACAACTGACATGCCCTTGAGCAAGGTACGGAAACCCCTCCACCCCCCCTGAGTGCCACCACCATAGGTGCCCACTGCTCTGAATGTGTTCCCCTACCTTACTGTACACTTAATCACTCTTGTAAGGTTTGCACATGTTCACATGGGTTAAAATGCTGTGGTCGAATTCCCATATGTATAAAAACACATGGACAAATAAGACTTCTTGTAATTTTATTGAGAAAAGGAAGTTTTTTTTTAACATACAAGCTTTGTGGACTGCTTGGTGACTTGGATTCTTAGCACTGCTGCTTTGCAGGAAGAAGACTGCAGGTTTAAGGCTCAGCTGGGGCCTTTCTGTGTGGTGTTTGTGTATTCTTCCTGTGCATGCATAGGTTGTCTTTCTGCATATTAAGTTCATTGGCTACTCTGAATTGTCACTAGTGAGTGATGGCAATTCACTAGTCACCACTCACCACTAGTTGAACGGTACACAGCCGTGTGATGGATCTGTCCAAGGTGTCTCTCCCACTTAATGACTCCTGGAGATGGGTGCCAGCTCCTTGCGACCCTGAAAAGAAACAAACTGGTTGAGAAAATAGATTGGGTAATACAATATTTGAGTTTTAATTTTTGCTTTGTTTACAATAAATATGTTTACAATATGTACTGCAATATTGTATCATTCCTTTTAAGATTTGTTAGGTTTTTATTAAACACTGATTCCAGTGGATTTCAGATCAGTTAGGTCTTAGTGGAGTTACACTTTTGACTTTAGCTCACAGTTTTAAGTACAACTCACACATTTAGAAGTTTTGTGCAATAAACATATGAAGACCTTGGGTTATTGCCAATAAGCAAACTGTCTATGACTATTAACAATTAACTATATTGCTTTTTATTCTCAAAACATTTAAATTAGCTGTATATTGGAAAGAAGCATACCATATTCAGATTTATTGCAATACAAAAAAAACTGAACAGACAAAAACAAAACTTATTTCTTCTTCTTTTTTTCTTCAATTTTTTTAAACAGTAAGATGACTTCTACTTGTAAAGACTTTATTTAAAATGGGGTATTATTACTTGTACTTATATATGCAGAGGTGAATATGTCCTCCATCATTTGCCTGAAGTTATTATGTACAATTACTAATAGTGCACAAAACCGGAAGTCTTTGACAAACACATTGGTCTCAAATCCCAGTGAGCTTGTTTAACAGAGTAAAACTAAACGTCATATGCTTCTGGCTGGATGTTGGAGATGTGATGAATATTTGAGTTGATATGTTTTTAACTTGTTTTTGTAACAAGCGTCCATTCTCTACAATGAACACTGTGCTTTTCTTTAATACTTTTTGAATAAAATGTTTGGCACACATACCAAAACTTTGGAGTTCATGGCAAATTTATGCACACGCATGACTTTTATGAACTTTACAAACTAGACTGGGAACTCATAAGGGCGCGAGTGCGTGTGTGTCATTTTCTGACAGCCCTGCATGACTGATTTATAAAAAACAGAGGCGCCTATTTGTCATCCATTGTGCATATTTGTCCTTAAAGAGGTCACCAAAGCTGTCAGCAACTCATCTTCCTTAAGGCCACGAAACACACTTCAGTCATTGTCTATGAGTGTCCGGGTGTCTGTGTTTTTTTCAGGGCAGCTCAGTGTACGTTTAGCACCGAGCAAATAGCAGTGGGAGCAGTTTGGTCAGCTGTGATTAGCTGTAGAGAAGCTGAAACATTGAAGGTGACTACAGCGGCGCCACTAATGTCTGTGAATGTCACTGAAGCCAGGACACAAAGTTTAGACTAAATTTATGTCTTTGCCTCTGGAAACTTTTAGTATTCAGACTTTTCTATGCGACCTTTAAAGGATGTATAATCCTGATAGCGACCAGTCTATCCTTCACATAGACATACATGTGTGAACACAAGCACACACTTAGTGGTATTTTCAAGCCAAGTAAGAGCTGCATTAATGTTTCTTTTCTGCTTCAACAGGGGTGATTTATACTGCTGGCACCTTGGACTGTGAGACAGAAAACTCTTACTGGCTCACGGTGTATGCCACGGACAGAGGAGCTGTTCCCATGTCTGCTTCGATTGAAGTCTTTATTGAGGTAATTGTTTTTCTTCTTAATGGTATTTCATGCAAGCATAAAATAAAAAAAATAAAATGTTAAAAATACTTTGTGACATAGCCATAAAGAAAAAAATTCTATTCACAATGAATCACACTAATGTTATTGCTGAAGAAAATTAAAAGCTCTGCTTTCAAATCAATCAAACAAAATGAATGTTCATTCTTTAAAGTAAAATATATTCTCCACCCTTTTACATATTAAAGTTTTATACAAAGATCTCACCCAATTTGTTATTGCTCAGAGGAGTGATTATTCTCAGCTACTAACACAACAGAGCATAAATCAATATCTGTAAATTTGATGAAGTTATAGCAATTTTTGTATTTCACAAGCTTGATCACCTTACTTTCTGAGTTTCATTAACATCCATCCAGTGGTTTATGAGATCATTTGCTAATAGGTTGACTTTAATAGTAATTTTCAACATTTTAAATGAAGATATTCTACAATCTGTCAGTGCTTGAGATATGTGTTGGGAGTGACTATCGACCACTCTTAGCTCAGTAACTGAGTTTTACTGAGTTATAACCAGTTTTGTTTTTTTATGAGGTTGATTGGCTGGTAGCCTTTTAAATCATGTTGAATCCAGAAGATAATCAAATGCAGATGTGCAACCACTGGGAGTTTCGTTAAAATCTGTTCAGTGGTTCATGAGCTATTTTGCTAAGACAGACAAATGACTACTGAAAATGTAAAAAAAAAAAAAGATTAAAAGCTATAAAGTAGTCGTGGAGTTCAGCAATTTCACTTTTTCATATTTTTTTGGGTCCATATTTAAGTAAGATTTACAAATCATAGTGTTGCAACACTATGTCATTGCAATGTTTAAAAAGACTCATGAGTTAAAATAAATGTAATAGGCTGGGTGCTGGAGATGTGATGAATTTTTATGTGCGTTTAGTTAATATGTTTTTAACTTGTTCTCTGTTTTCAGTGTTCATTCTTTACAATAGATATTGTGTTTTTCTTTAATCCTTTTTGAATAGAATGTTCATGATGTTGTTATGTTATTAATGATAAAGCACATTAGCCTCAAACTAACTAATTAAGCCAAAGCTGAATAAAATACACCCTTGTAGTTAATTAGGCTCCCTATATCACCCATCTTGCCTGGATACTAAAATTTTAGAACTATGCTCTGGGTGTACCCCGCCTCTCGAACAGTGACTGCTGGATATGAGCACAGGCGACCCACACAATCTGGAAAAACAAAAATGTGGGTAAAAGATAATGATGGATAAAGGTATGTCATTGAATTTGTCTCAGAACAAAGAGCTCAAAAAGTGCAATAAATCAGCCAACAATTCAGTTTATTTATATAATGCCAAGTCACAACACAAGTCATCTCAGGGCACTGAACAGAAACATTCATATACCCCCAACATTTTTCAGTCAGGTCATCTGGACAGTTTTTTTTTTTTTTTTGTGCTGAAACGTTTCACCTTCCATCCAGAAGGCTTCATCAGTAAAGGAAACACACAACGCAAAACTGATTCTTCCCCCAACAGCTTACTCCAAAGTGGAACAAACCAGTTACGTTGGTGCTAAGATGGTCTCTTTGGCACGCCCACTCCTCCGGTGCTGGCCCTCTTCCTCGTCAACAGTCATGTCAAACTGGTTCAAAACCAACAAAGTCCATGCTCAAGAAACTGTCCAGACGACTTGACTGAAAATTGTTGGATTGTATACCTGGATTATTAAGCATGGACTTTGTTGGTTTTGAACCAGTTTGACATGACTGTTGACGAGGAAGAGGGCCATCAACGGAGGAGGGGGCGTGCCCAAGAGACCATCTTAGCACCAACATAACTGGTTTGTTCCACTTTGGAGTAAGCTGTTGGGGGAAGAATCAGTTTTGTGTTGTGTGTTTCCTTTACTGATGAAGCCTTCTGGATGGAAGGTGAAATGTTTCAGCACAAAAAAACAAACTGTCCAGATGGCCTGACTGAAAATTGTTGGATTGTATACCTGGATTATTGAGCATGGCCTTTGCTGATTCATATATATATATATATATATATATATATATATATATATATAAGTAAATTAACTTTATTTATCTGAGGAGCAGACTGATTTGAATTGAACTTCATCACAGATTCTCATCTTGAGCAAGCAAAAAGGCGACAGTGGAAAGGAAAAACTCCCTCATGAGGAGTAAACCTTTAACAGAACCAGACTCAGGACTAGCAGCCATCTGCTTAGACTGGCTGAGTTTGAGAGGAACAGGAAGGAGGAACAGATGCACAATGGCAGGTCAAGAATCACAAGTTAAGATAGAAATAATATTAAATGAAAACTATTCAATTTTAACAATTCATTTAAGGAAATGAGGTCAATTTGTCCTCCAGTAGTCTAAGCCTATAGCAGTATAACAAGCCAAAATTAACTAAAGGATTTATCAAAAAGGAAAGTCTTAAACCCAGTCTTAAAACTGGACAATGTGTCAGCCTCACGGACAGAAACTGGAAGTTGTTCCACAAGAGGAGCCTGATAACCGAAATATCTTCCTCTCATTCTGCTTTTTGGAAACTCAAGGAACCACAAATAAGCCTGCAGTCTGACAGCAAAGTGCTCTGTTAGAAAAATATTGGATGATAATATCTGTAATATGGAGCTAAGTTGTTGAGGGTTTTGTAGGTTAGAACACATAAAACTTTTCTCAGATGTTTAGGAGAAGTTCATGCACAACTAGAACTACACTCAGTGAATTGAATTTATGAATATTGTGAGTTGGATCAGTAGGAACACCTGCTACTGCAGTGTCCATTTGACTTCAAGCTGAGACAACTGAATTTAATATTAAAAAAAAATGTTGCCTTTGTTGAACCGAAGTTATGTTTTCCCAGGTAGTGCAGAGCGTTTGCACTGCTGGATGAGATGTTGTTTGATGTTCTCAACAAACAGTTGCAATATCAAAAGCTTAGTTTCTCATCATTTAGAAAATCAATTGATTTTTGATCATTGTCTTGTCTTATTTTATGACAAACATAAAACTATCTAATCTTGAGAAGAGAAATTTGGTTTTAAAACAGTAGGTATCCTTCAAGTGTTTCTTCCCTCTGTTTTGGGCTTCAACTCTGCCTCAAAATCCCTCACCTGTAACTAAAATTACATTTGAGTTGAATAAAATCTCAATATAGTTTTTACTACCTTTACAGGAAGTTATTGTGTGAAAGCTCTTAGTCATAGAATTTGTAGAAAGTCCTTGCTCATGCTGGTTAAATACTTATAATCTTTTCTAGCTGTTTTCATTCAGCCTGTGCGTTCTGTCAAATTCTGCTTTCTTCTTTGATTATTGCACAGGCTTGATAGAAGTTTCAGCAGTATATGATTTGTTATATGAATAAATTTGTCAAATTTTAGTTTACCTGGATTTGTGTCATTTTTGTTTTTCATTCATTCAAACTGGAGGCAGAAGATGGTTCCCTGCGTTAGTTATCCCTCATTGAATAAATAGGGCTCAAACTATAATTTAAACAGACAGAAACATTTCATCCACAACATGTTTCTTGATATAAATTGTTTAAATGGCAAATTTATGCCCAGTACATTTGACACATAAACATGCTATCTGTGACAGGCCAACTTCAGCCTTTGTATACATACTGTAAGTTATTGCATGAACACATATGAAGGTTTGGGGTCTTTGTATTTTAGTGATAATAGTTCAAAGTTATCGATGTGTAACTTTAGGCAATGTTTATTATTACTTATTCTTTGTAAGAATTTCAACCTAAATGAGAATGACATGTGTGAGCAACCAATACATTGCATGTCTTTTCTTCTGCTTTACCTGGGTACAAAATAATGTATTGTTTAAAAGCTCAAACACATCACTGTTACACCTCTGCTCTCCCCTTGGGTACAGACACAGCAGCATAATAAGAAACAGCCTTTAATGGCCTTGGGATATTCAAGTGATGTGATCTGATTGGCTGCTTTAACGCCGGGTGTTTTCATCAAAGGCAAAACCTGATAGATTAATCAGGAGCAGGTGTTTCTTGTTCACCAGTTGAAATATCTCGGCTCTCTGTGCCTCTCAGCAAATGCTCAATCAGCTCTCTCTTTGCTGTAAATATTCTTGATCTGAGCTGCTAGAAAGGGGAATTAATTCACAGTGCTCTTAAAGTGTGGCACCTATGACATTTTCTGGTAAATAAATTTACATGTTGTGATTGATACTAGGTCAGCCCAGATGCAGGCTGAGCTTGATTAGCAAGTACTCTGCAGTCAGCAAATACATTTTCCCCATGCATACATGCAGATCAAATTAGACGGTCGTGCTTTGTCAGTCAGTTAAGGGATAGCTTAAATCTTTTGTAGTGCAATTCTGTGTAAATGGGATGAATGTATCTTACTTGTAGATAATTCTTTGAATGACCTCAGTTTTGAGAAATACAATTTAAGGTTCTATTCACACTACTCTGTAAATTTGAAACTCTGTAAATTTTTTTGCTTCATTAGCATCCCTTGTCAGCATAAAGTATGTGGTGAGAAAAACAGATTTTTGAAAACACTTTCCAAAGTGGAGCCTTTTAAAACGCTCCTTTCTTTGTTGCGCTCTGTGTGTGGACTAGAAACATGGAACCTTTTAGAAGCAATGACGTAGCAGCCTATTTTACACACACTTACTATCATCCTGTGCACTGAAATCTCAAACAGATGTAAAGCCATTTACGTATATAATTTTTCTACTTGTGTTTTGCATTTTACAGTACATCTTGTGCCACTGTAAAGCTTTTAACTGTTGCTGAAGTCGTTATTAACTGAGGACAAAAATCTTACTCAAATAGAAAAACACGAGTTTATCATCATAGCAGATCAGGTTAAACCTTTATGCCACTGTTGGTTTTACGTTACACAGTTGTTCTGATAGAAATATTATGAACAATCTCCTGGAAGTGCTTCAGGCTGTCTACATCTAGCTGCTGCTACCACTTCTTGTGCTTACAAAAGAACCAGTCCTTTGTAAAATGCATGTACCATAATATAAAATTGACACCAATGTAAAGGTTTAAAATAGTGTTTCCATAAATGGCTATAAAATATTTGCTATTAAGGTTGTTTAGTGGTAGCAACAGTCCCTTTTGGTATTGTCTCTAATAGGGAAGATTACTTTAGATTAGATTATATTAGATTCAACTTTATTGTCATTACCCATTTACAAGTACAAGGGGACGAAATGCAGTTTAGCATCTAACCAGTAGTGCAATAAACAGCAAGTGCAGAAAAGCATTATTGTATTACTATACTATGATCATGATATACAGATATGTGGGTAGGGTGGATAATATATGAATGCTATAAACACAATATACAGATTGATGTGCTACAGACCTATCTGCAGATTAAAGTGTTATAAATAAACCAGACGGATGGATGTGTGTGTGCATCTTGAATTATGCACAGTATAGTTTATAAATATAATATACAGTGGTATGTACAATGTGAATACTGTAGTACAGTCTAAACTCAAGAGGAGAGATTGGGGGTGGGGTTAGCAGGTGACAGTGTTCAGCTCTGGGGAAATAGCTGTTCCTAAGCCTGCTGGTTTTGGTTTGGAAGCTTTCCGAAGTGCCTGTCGAAGGGCAAGTGGGTAAATAGTTTATGGGCAGGGTGAGAGGAGTCCTTGATAATGCTGCGATCTCTGTGCAGACTGTGTTTCCTCTGGATGTCTGCAATGAATGGAAGTGGAGACCCAGTGATGCAATGGGCTGTCTTCATGACCTGCTGCAGAGCCTTGCAGTTTTGTGATAGTGCAGTTCCTGAACCATATGGTGATGTTACTGGTCAGGATACTCTATCAAATACCTGTGAAAGTTTACCAGGACAGCCGTGGAAAGTTGGTGTTTCTATAGTGTCCTCAGAAAGAAGAGGCATGGGTGAGCCTTCTGAACACCTCCCACCTGGTGAGGATGGCCAAACATACTTTTTTCCTAAGGTGGCCGAAATGGGCTGGACTCTCTTCTCGGCTGCTCACAAACTTTTACAGAGCCACAATAGAGAGCACTCTCTGTCTCAAGGCTTCAATGTACTAAGGAACCTGCACTGCACAGGACAAGGAGGATCTGGCACAGGTGGTGAAGTGGCTCAGAGGATTGTAGGAAGTACACCCCTTCCAGATCTGGACTTCCTATATGAGGGCTGGGTACAGTACAGAAAGGCCAGGTGCATCACTGCAGACCCCACTCACTCTGGAAATGGACCATTTGTGTCTTCAGTGCAGAGCTATAAAAACACTAAAAACACAAACAAGCAGCCAATTATTGCATTATTGCCACATAACTTGCTGCTAATTTGTCAAGCCTTGTAAATTCTGTAAATTACTTGCATTATCATTCTTCATGTGTAAATAAGTATTTAGCCATATGCACCAAACAAAATTTTGTTGTACTAATGGATAATGACGTTAAAGATTCTCGAGTCTTGATTCGGGCAGCACGGTGGCACAGTTGGTAGAGCTGCCACCTCTCAGTGAGCGGGTTGCCTTGCTTCAAATCCTGGTCAGGGGCCTTTCTTGATGAAGTTTGCATGTTCTTTCTGTGCATGCGCGGGTTTTCTCCAGGTGCTCCGGTTTCCTCCCACAGACCAAAAACATGCACGTTAGGCTGATTGGTAACTCTAAATTGTCCCTAGGTGTGGGTGAGAGAGTGAATGGTTGTTTGTATTCATGTGTCCCTGTAATGGACGGGAGACCTGTTTAGGGTGTCCCCCGTCTCTCGCACAGTGATAGCTGGATATGGGTACCAGTGACCCATGCGACCCGAAAAGGAAGAAGTGGGTAAAGATAAACAGCCTTGATTCTTGATTCTTATTCAAGACTCTATTATCACGTTTACCATTACCATATTCTATTACCGTATGTTTTTCTCTTCTCTATTTTTGTCCCGCTACACAGAGTGTGGAAGGGGATCTGAAAATGCTCTCCATCTATGTGTTTGTCCATCCCTCCATCTGTGCATGTGTCACAACATCGGTGTTGTGAGCAAGATAGCTTGAAAATAAAAATAAGTGTGGTACTGGCTTCTGTTTCGGTGTGTGGCTGCATATAGGTGTACAAAAGGTTCATTTTATAAATCTGGTTGTCACTTCAAAATCCAAGATTGCTGCTGCCATATATGTCCATTCATCTTGTGAGCTTGATGACTTAAAAAAAATTGTGGGGTACTAACTTCAGTTTTGGTGTGTTATTCCATCTAGGCATAAAAACGGTCTCTATCAAACGTTGGGTGCCACGTCAAATCCAAGATGGCCACCACCATATACATATATGTACAAAGTATATTGGCCACCACTATTATTTCAGGAAACTATGCTTTCAAGTTTTTATATTGATTGAAAGTATAGTTATCTCAAATAGGTTGGATTAGAGAGATCCTTATTGATTCTATGAAAATATTCCTTCAGGAAAATTAAAAAAGCTGCTTGAGATCATAATTGGCTGTCCCCTGGCTCTGCTATGCTCCCTACACTCACCAAGATCCATCACTTTGCACTGCATTGGTCGAACAAAAAGATTAAAAAAAATGTGTTTAAATAGTCTAACATTTACCCACTTAAATATCTTGCATCAAAAACATTAAGATCCTCTTGCATTCCCTGTTCAGTGTCAGTCTGGAGAAACACTCATTTCAAAAACTACAAACTTTCTCTATTCAAATCCCTTGGTGACGAGGGACATTGACATACCCCTTGTATAACTTTTTTATTCTCTTCACTTTGTCCTCCCTCAGGTTGAAGATGTTAATGATAACGCTCCCTTAACTTCAGATCCAATCTACCGCCCAGTCATCATGGAGAACTCTCCAAAGGATGTGTCAGTCATTCGTATTCAGGCTAAGGACCCCGATCTCACATCCACACCCAGCCACCTGAGTTACCGCATTAGTGCTGGCAACCCTCAGAACTTCTTCGCCATCAACCCCAAAACAGGTAATTTGACACACCTAATACTCAGTTAATTGCAATTTGTTTTCCGTGTACCTGGAAGATTGACAGGATAAAAATTATATAATTATCGTGAGGTGGAGTTTCCTAAGAGATGGTGCAAACTCTCACATAAATCATCACCATGTCTCTCTGTTGACAAAATACACTGAAAACTGTTTCTAGTTTTTGTTAGTGATGTATGTTTGTGCTGCAAATTAAACAGGATTAGTATAGCTGACGTGTGAAAGCGATTAACTATTTTTTGATTTTGTTTTAATAACCTCAGTAATATTTTTGCATTACAAAGTTTATTAGAAGTGATTCCTGAACTCAGCAAGAGTCCAGCTGAGGTGCCTTTTGGAAAAGAGAAGCGTAAACTTGAATGTCACTTCACTTTCTTCAAATGGTTAAAATGCATCAGTTTCCATCTAGACCAGTTAAAACTCCAATATGTTTACAACTTTACAAGCCTGCTTTGGGAAACCAGATTTCATTCAACCCTTCAAGGAGACAGTCCACGTGTAATTGTGAGGATTCCAGTTTTTTCCTTCTGTTTGTGCGTCACCAACCATCTTTCATACAGCTCCCGAGTGACAAGTGGAACTAATTCTACACAGCTGCGGCAGATGAGCTGATGATCCCTCACTACCATTTTTTTTTTCATTCTACCTGTATTTATACAGATAAATCACATTGAGCCTCAAGGACTCATTTACAAGTGAGACCTGTTGAAGTATTTAAGTAAACCTCTATTCAGAAGCCGTTCCTGGAACGTTTGGTTCACTTGGGTGAATAATCACAGCCTTTTAAGAATTTTGTGATTTGTGAGATTAATCTAACAAAATCAAACCTTTGTGATTATTTTCTGTTTCACTTACCTTTTGAAATCCTGCCTGTGTTCCTGGATTTTCTTTGGTCTTACCTGTCACTCTCCATCATAGTACCGTACTCACTGCCTGGAATACATCCTCCTTGAGATGTTTTGAATGGACCCCCGAGATTGATTTTTCCTTTCAAAACCTAAAAAAAACCTATTTATTGGTTCTGATTCTATTCCAGTTAATGGTTCAACGTGTTTTCCAGATTTATGGCATCCCAGTGTACATTGTCTCAGAACGAGGCCCCTCAATTCATCTTTCCTGTATGGAAGGCTTTTTGTGATTCATTAAGCTCTTCATCTACTGTACAGTACACATACACCAGAGTCAGTCTTCAATCTAAATGGTGATACAGAACAAAACTTCAACCAATGAATATGACAAGTGAAGAATCAGAGTTAGTTTCCTAGGCACTTGAAATATGGTTGAATCATACATGGTGATTGTATAGGGTATAAAATATTGTAAATTTATTGTCATTGCACCATCAGTGAGCACAATATCAAGTTTAAAAATGACTGCACGGACTGCAATAAATCAGATGATATTTTAAGTAGCATGCATTTATGTTTTGATGCTAATAATTTTTGTCAGTGCAACAGACTTTCATTGGCCTTGATGCTCAACAAAAGCCTTTTGCGGGAGCTTAGAGCAGGGCTATTTATCTAAACTGCTCGGGGAGCCACAGTTACTGAAAGCCAACACCTCATGGGCCAAACATCCATCAATTAGTCATTATGCAAATAAACCAACTATTACAATGATGATGTTACCTTTTTAAATTTGTTTATTTTGCTGCATTGAATCATAAATGTGATACTGTAAACATAACCCAAAAGTGTAATTCAAAGAAATTACATTTCAAGATTTATTTCCTTGCAATAAAAGTAGTGATATTCTAATGTGAAACCATATTAAAACCAAAAATGACACACTAGGCCTCGTTTTTAACACAAATAATATTTTGCTATCTCTGGGGGTGCTGCGGTAGCTTGGTGGTCTGTGCCACAGACTTTTAGTCCTGAGGTTGTAGGTTTGAGCCCAAGTTGCATCAGGCAAGGAAAACTCATACATGAAGTGTCCACGACCCGCTCAGATGTGAGCTTTGAGCGAAACCAAAAAAAGAGGTGGAGCAGAACTCAGCTGGGCTGAAAGCGAGCGGGATGTGTTTGCATGTTGAACGTCTCATTCTGTCCTGTAGTAAAATTAATTAACGTGTTTAAATGATCCTATTTGTGGTTAAGATTTATTTAAACTAACTACAAAGCTGCTGTGCATCATCCTCAATATTCTCCCACTAATAAATATGTTAGTTGCTTTTTTTTAAATCTGCCTCACGGGCGATCACACACTAATATGATCAGTTTATCAGAACTCCCTGCACAGCGGGAGAGAGAGAAAGAGCGCACCCCTGCGAGAGCACACAGCCTTTCAACTTGAGTTTCTGCTAATTTAATTCTTATAATTAAACATTATTAATGCCAAAACATACATATTTCTATCCCCAGGGTAAAGCAAAGCTGTATGTTTATGTTTAACTTTTTTTATTTTCCCCCAAATTCACAAAGATCTCTCTGTGAGTGTCTCATTGAGACTGTGTAAGCTGCAAAGCATGCTGGGTAGCTTTGTGGAAATTAGATGTGCAATGTTTCTGACTGTTTACAATGTTTCTGACTGTTTACAATGTTTCTGACTGTTTACAAGGTTTATAATGTTTCTGAGTGTGGGAATGGGTTGTTCTTGTTAATGTCCTGTTCAGGTTTGCTTTGGCATTTATGATGAAGTCTCTGTTAGTTACTGTAAACTGACACCATGAGTCAGATGTTGTTACCGGTACATACTGTATCAAGTATCAAGTGCAGCAAGTGTCCTCACTGGTAATTGCTGGTTATGATTGAGTCCTGGTCTAGCATTGTATTATTGCTTTTAGGGGGTTGGTGCTATTCAAAGTCTACCACGCTCCATCCAGGTATAAAATCTAACAAGTCAGTTCATCTGGATGGTGTCTTTCTTTATTTATTTTGAGGCATTTCATTTTTCATCCAAAGGACTTCATCAATACGAGTAGCTACAAACAAACTCAGTCCCACAAGCAGCACACTCATATAGTGGACCAACCAGTTTGCCTTGTGATAAGATGGTTTCTGGTGCCCGCCCTCCTCCCCGTCGACTCCTCTGAGGCAGCCATAGCCAAAGTGTTTTAAAACATCAAAGTTCATGCCCAATAATGCAGGTAAAATCCAACAGTGTTGTTTGTGGGAATGAGTTTGTTTATGGCTCCTCGGATTGATGAAGTCCTTTGGATGAAGGACAAAACGTCTCAACAACAACCAAAAAAGAAACCATCCAGATAACCTGTCTGAATTTTGTTGCATGCTTTTAGTTGTTAGTTTGTTGATTTATATTTAACAAGCCTTTGGGGAAGCGTGGTGGCTCAGTTGGTAGAGCTGCTGCCTCTCAGCGAGCTGGTCGCACCAGTTCAAATCCCAAACGGGGGCCTTTCTAGGTGGAGTTTGCATGTTCTCTCCGTCCATGCATAGGTTTTCCCCGGGTACTCCGGTTTCCTCCCACATATGATCGTGTCTCACAGTGTGAGTGAGAGAATGAATGGTTGTTTGTCTCAATGTGTCCCTGTGATGGACTTGCGACCTGTCCAGGGTGTCCCCCGCCTCTCACACAATGATAGGCACCAGTGACCCCCGTGACCCGACAAAGGAAGATGCGGGTAAAGATAATGGATGGATGGATGGATGGAAGTCTTTGGGGAATGCCAAACTTCCTAGAACAGGAAAGAATAGAATGATCAAAAATGGTGCAAAGAAATCACCTTATTTCATGTATTTGTTTCCATTATCAAAGCATCGTTGTAGAAAATACAGATTCACAAACAATCAGGTGTCAATTTAATCAAATTTAATCACACAGTTAATCACACAATATTATCATTATTTATTGTTAATCTGAATAATTTGAATATCCACTCTTTAATTTGCACAACAAAAATTTGTGACACTATAGAAGTTAGCATCATATTTAGACAATTTAAATTATTACTGGCTTTTTTCCCTTGGCTCTCTTCTATAGAAAATGTACCACACTTTAAATGTCCCTAACTGAACATCAGTGCTATGTTGGGCCTGAAATCAGTCATTTACTCATGATAAAATATCTCGAAACTCATGCATCAAAATTGCAACATAACCATAAATTTCTATAGATAATTAGGTGAACCTTAATCTTAATGAGATCATTCTTAATCTCTATTAGATTAAACCTAATCTTCCCTCTTTTGTCTTTGAAACACAAACAAATTGATCAAGTTTTACTAATGAAGCTTTCCATCTGCAGATTTAACATTTTGTTCTCTGATGAACTTCATTTTCTTTTGTGCATTTCCCTAAACACCACGCTCAGACTAATGCAAACAGATAACACCATGATAAGAAGTAACTCACAGCAATTAGAGGACGTTGCCAAGGTTTCAAGCTGAGCAGGATCCAGTCTGATCTGTTCCCCTCAGGTTAGTGGGCAAAAGGCGCATTTTGATCACCTCTGACAGCCGAATGACCTCCTCACTGCATCACATTCGTCTCCCTCGCTGCCTTTAACCCAGGAGTCCAGTTCTGCTCACGTCACCTTGAAGAAACTGTGTGAATGATTTCGACATTGGCCACGCCACCTCGAAAAGGTCAGACAGTTCTCAGAAAGTGCTCTTCCTGCATGCAGGCCAAATGTCCGATCACAGACTCTGAATGGAAGAATCAGCAGACTAGAACTTCTCCTCTTTTCTCAGCTTCAGCTCTGCTGCTCAAATGTCATGCTCACGTGGGCTGACCACTGTCCAACCTGGACTGAACAAAGCATTGACACCAGACATATCAAAGTTTCTTAAAACATGTCATAATTCTCAGTTCAGAAGTCTGGAGGCGTCTGCAGAGAAGTGTGTGTCACGGTTGGTAGGGACATTCTACCTGTTTTTGGACCTTCAGAACTGGACTGTTCTACAGGAAACCCTGAATCTCTCAAAAATGGCAAAAGAGTTCAAACGCATGCTTCAAATAAGTGTTTTTCTTAACTGTAGACATGTATTCAAATGAGTCAGGACCATCTCTGCTTCAGTGAGCA